TATCTGTGGAACTAAACTGTCACGTATGCAGGTAAAACAACTTCGCAGTTTCAAGCAAAACAAGTCTAGATCCTGTGTATGTGTACAGGCAGCCTATGTGTCTTGACCTCAGTGCATGACCCATTCTGAGTCTTCTGTTACCAGGCAGACTCCAATAAAGCAGGCTGCTGAGTGCACACAGGCCTGTATTCTGTTTACAGGTTATATATGGTGTATTGTAAGCATGTATGCAATCATATCCTTAGCTTGGGTCACCTTATATTAATCAATAGATCGGCCAGACATCGCGCTGACCGAAGCTTCAGACCATTATCAATTAACTGACCGAGCTTCAACTCTTTAATTAGCACAAAAATGCAATATGTGTATAACATGATTACAGTTGCACCTGCAATGAAAGATTATTATGTAATTGAGCTAACAGCTGAAATACAGACTTTAATGTAACATCAACAGCTTCAATAAATGCTCTGATGAAATGATAATGATAAATGATGAGTAATACAACAGTAATGATAATAGTTATGAATAGTAACAGTAAAATAATATTCTCATCTCCACAGTAATCATCAGGTAATAGCATAATATCATTATGCAATTTTCCATATGCCCAAACACCAACATAAATGCATATCCTAGTAATGAGAACATGCATAAAGTTTTTCTTTTATGCTCTTAAATGCCACTAGTTTAGCCAACAGCAAAGTTGGAGAAAAGGAGCGCTTCAGAGAAAACGTCGTAGTGAAAGGAAGGCTCACTTTATGATGTTTCACTAAACCCCAAAGGTGCTCTGTTGGCCTGATCTGGTGACTGTGTCATGTTCAGTTTGAGATGATTCTGGAAACAACCATCAGAAGATGGGTACACTGTGGTCATAAAGGGACGGACATGGTCATTACCATTTTGCAGGTAGGTTGTGGCATTTAAACAATGCTCTTTTGTTACTAAGGGGTCCTGCCCATGTCCAAATGCACATTTTTATGTTGTTTGCACCAGATTTTGAGCCTACTATCTGAGTGTTGAAGCAGAAATGAAGACCAGGTGATTTCCTGTTCTAGGTTGACTGGAGTGGCACCCCGTGTGGTGTTTAAACTTCAGTATGTGTAGTGTGCATACTGTTAAGCTCTTCCACATACCTTGGTTGAAATGAGTAGTTATTTGAGATGCTGTTGCTTGTTTATCAGCTTGAACAAGTCTGGCCATTCTCCTCTGATGTCTGGCCCGAACAAGACCAAAGTCACTTAAATCACCTTTCTTCCATCTTGAGCTGTTGCTGATTAGATATTTGCCTTAACAAGTAATATAACTTGACAACACACCCCTTCACGTTTACACTGTATCCCTTCCTGTTTGTGGAAGCTACACGAGCTGATAAAACGAGAAGTGAGAGCAGCGGAGAGGATCGTGGGTGTTTCTTTTCCCTCCCTCCAGGACACCTATTGCACCCGCTTTAGACTTTTATTTTATTTTTAGCTTTTTATCTTTATGTTGTTTTAGTGTACACTGAGGGCCGTGGGAGCATTGCAATTTAAAATTCCTGTGGATGATCTGTACACATGTTTATTTTTTTTAAATAAAGCTGACTTTGACTTTGACTTGGATTTTGTTTACAGTGAGAGCAAAACTGTGAATACAGTTATGAAAATGGTCAGTGCTTTCAAGAATGGTGTATATAGCTTTAATATTTAGATATATTATTAAC